GCCAGGTGGGTGCGGGCAGAGGGAGCTGGGGCAGGATGGCTGACTTTCTTTAAATGGCAGCCACAGAGCCTGGGGGACAGAGAGGTCCCCGGGAGAAGTCCGGTTTGACCGCCCTGCCACGGAGGAGGGAGCCCTAGGAGACCTGGCCTCTATCCACCCCTCCTGGTACCTTTGCCCCATGTGGCCGCCCTTCCGCTTCATGACCTGTGTTCTCCGTCCCTCCAGCCCTGACAGCCTGACGAGCTCTAAGGAAACCTCTCAGGGACACCGCTGCTGAAACCATGGCTTTTGCCTCCTTCGCAGGTAGTGGCTTCCCCCTCTCTGGTGAGTTCCTCTGAGGGGGTCCTGAGGGGTCATCTCCAAGGTGGCACCAAGGGGCCAGCTCCAAGGCAGAGCCATTTTACGGAATAGTGCTGGGTGGAACAGGGGAGCCCCTGAGGGACGTATGGATCTCTGAGCAGGGCCTGTGGGGCTCCCTTCCGAGTCCTGTCCTTCCAGACACGGCCCAGCTGGTCACTTCCTGCCCAGCCTGCTCCCAGTGAAGGCCTCGGGTGGGCCCAGGCCTGTCATGGGGAGGCCCCTGCTGCCCGCCCCAGGCCCTGACCCTGGGGCACTGCCCGTGACCAAGCAGCTGCCTCAGCTCCTGCCCTGCGGGGCCCAACTGCTCTCAGTGGTTCAGGAGGAAGAGTGGGCCAGAGTGCCACTGCAGGGGACCCGGGTGTGACCTCTGCCAGCTCACACTGTGAGATCTGGAGGCCCTCCCCTCCACTGTGCAGAGAGCAGAGTCTCCCAGGGTATTGTGAGGGTCATGTATAGCATGGGTGCTCCCTGCCTTGGGTCTCTCCCCTCCTTGGACCCTGTTAGGTTCATCTGGGACACACACACACGCACACACACCTACACTCCCTGCTCCCCCATGGAGCTGTGCACAGCACCTGCCCAGCCCTGCCAGTGACAGGCACCTGCTCCCCAGGGGCGACAGCCTCCAGAGAGAGCTGATTCCCATTATCTCTCACAAAATGAAAACCAAAACCAAAAGGAAACAACCTCCTTCCACAAAGAAGTCCAGCCTCCTTCAGACCTGTTTCCTTCCCCCTCACTGAGACATCTTCAAACCAAGCCTATTCCTCAATTCTTCTTCATTCTGCAGAGCAAACTGCACTGTCAGTAGCCATGGTGAAGAACAGGGAGGGCAAAGAATGGAGGTCAGGGGCTGCAGCAGTCCTGACAACCTGAGGCAGGTCTGAGAGTGTTGGTGTCCTGGGGACAAACCCTTCCTGAACAGATGGGCCAGCCTGGCGCCACGGGTGGCACTGAAATTTTTGTTCCCTGAGACCAGAAGAAATTGTCTCCAGAGTCCCAGGCCAGTTGCCAGATTTTGACAACTCATGTCCGGCCACTCCTTTGAACAGCAACTGATAAGAGTAATGGCGAGAAGCAGGGAATGAACTTTGAACGCTACAGCTTTCCGGGACGACAAGGGGAGCAGCGTCCTCAGCCCTTTGCTCGGAGGTGCGGCGTGAGCTCCCAGACTATACCGACAGGGGGCAGCAGTGTGCACGGTCCCTGGTCTATGGAAATGGAGTCTGGCGGGTGTTTCAGCACTGGTCAGGTGGGGCTTGGTCCAAAGCAATGAGGAAGTTGCTGTTCCCTGGGTGTCAGGGCCAGTGGGCTGAGAGGTGGTCTGGTCAGGTGAGGCTCCCAAAGGAAAGAAAGCGCGTGGATCAGACATCACCAGAAACCAGGAACCAGACTGTAACTGTACAACCTCAGTGCAGCATCAGAGCATGAACGTTGGCGCGGCAGCTGCTGACTGAGCTCCAAAGCTGTGTGCCCTTTTTTATCGGCTTTTCTGAGACACATTTAAAACAACTGCATGACTTTGCACAGCTGTGTGGTATCTGCGTGGTCGTCCATGCTGACTTAGTATTATATTATTATTACATATTATTATTATAGTCTATCATATTATTATTATTATATTGTTATCACAAAGTCTGTCATGCGCCTGCACTTTTTCAGATGCCTTGGCTTTGACACATCTACCAGTGGTCCCTACACTCGGGAGTTCTTTCCACTCCTCAGAAAATCAGACACCAGTGCTGCAGATTAGGGCCCTACCTTTCTGATCTCCTTTAATCTCCGCTATTCCACCTCCTTAAAGGCCCCACCTCAATTCAGGCCACTGGGCCTTAGAGTTTAATATAGGAATCTGGGGACACAGTGTGGTCCACCGCACTGGTAACTGCATCTCAAGTGTCCGATGTGGTAGTAGCTCCTAGGATGAATAGCTAGCCACCTGTCCCCAAAGCCACTTATACTCCTCTGCACCATCTTCTGACCCTATTCCTTTTTTCCTCACCCAGAGAGGGACAGTTTCGTAGAAGATGTCATTGAGTATATCGTGGACACACTGAGCAGTGAAGATCTGCGGCAGCTGCTGACTGAAGATAGCTCCTGGGAGATCCTGGTGGAGACAACTGACTTGACCAGGTCACCTGCATGGGGCAGCCCAGCAGAGCCGCCCAGATCCCCGCTGGACTGGGCTTCTCAGGGCCAGACTCAGCTCCTCCAGGCTGTTTCCTGTGGTTGGGGTTGAGGGTGCCCCTTCTGCACAGTCTCTGCGGGAAATGATCTCCATGTCATCCCCTGGCAGTGCATGGCCTCAGGGTGAAGGGACGTGGAGGCAGGATCACTTCTGCCAGCTGCCAGTTACGCGACCTTTGCTATCTCTATACCACTTTCTGCCTCACTGTCTCTATTCATTGAGTTTCTTTGCAAGAAAAATGAGAAAATGCGTGGAGGGCGCTTAGCATTTGGCTGACGCACAGCAGGGCCTCAAGCAAAGGCCCAGGAGGGAAGAGAGCAGGGCCAAGTGTCCTCCTCGGAGGTGGGCGCCAAGAGGGATCTGCTTGAGACAAGTCCTAAAAAAGTAGACCTTGTCAGTTGTGGGGAGGCCACGGCCCCCACAGAGGACACCTCAGTGGCCGAGGCACTGTTTCCTTTCCATACTGTGATCCATCCCAGATCGACGCAGAGGGCTGTGGTGGTGGGTGGTTGCTTCCTTCACACCTGTTGGTCTCCCAGGAGTCCTCAGCTTTATCATTTGGGCCCCTCTTCTACTCATGTGGAGTCATCCTGACCCTGGGGATGGCAGTGGCTTAGTGACGGCTTCCTCAGACAGAATGGCTGACGGCCTGTTTTGTATAATGAGAGAGTCTGAGGACCCGAGGTCTGAGGCACAGAGACTTTCTCTGTTACTCTGTGCAGGTTCAGGTTTCCCAGGCTCTTGATTCAGAGATGGATCTCAGGGTCGCTAGAGTCTTTGCACAAGGCCGTTGCATGAACTCATGAAAATTATCATTGGCTAAGGTGCCATTTAGGCTCATGTCATGTGACAGTAAGGTCCTGATCTTGGGGTGCGAGGTGAAGAAAGAGTTCGCTGTACAAGTAAGCTGAAAGAGAGGCCAAGTAATCTTTGTGATCTCTTTTACCTCAGAGTTTACTTTGTTTACCTTATTAGTCAAAGTCATCCAAACTACCAAGTCCGAGGGCACAGCCTCCAAGACGAACTTTATTTTTGATACCAGCTGCAAATCTGAGGCCTCCCCACAACCCCATGCAGCTGTGACAATTCTTTACAGGGACTCAGAGAATTCAATCAATGTTTATTACACACAGTGTGTCACAAGGAAAGGCACAGGGTAAAATCAGTCACAGGAAGGTTTACATAGGACAGAATCTGGCAGGGATCCAAGCTTGAAACTTCCATTTTCCTCAGGCCACCGCGTGCTCTGTACTTCATGTGTGATAATTCACACAGAGGATGCCAATCTACAAGGCTCAGCCTGTGACAGGAAACATTCTGCTATGTGGCAGAGCAAGCCCTGGATGGACTGGAAAGCCTACTTACAAAGACATTCAGAAGGTCCTCCCTCAAGTTTGGTCACGCCTTGTGGTTCAGCCTTCAGGGCCGACCTGGGGTTTCCATCTGGTCCTAGAGGCCGATGCTTTTAGTCTCCACTTTCTCTGGAAGTCAGAAATGATCCCAAAGCTCCCATCATGCATCACATTGTTAGGATGAGCATGCATCAAGGGAAATTCCTGGGATAAAGAGTGTTTTCTGAGCAATGTCTTCTCATTTTGAGATATTTTCTATGTAAAGAGATATCTCAGCATTGTGACTCAAGACAAAACGTGAAACTCATTTATGTTTTTTTACAAATTGTATGCATTGCACGAATGTAATTTCACATAATACTTTTAGTTCGCCTGTGCGTTAACTATGACCTGTCCCATAAGTCAGTCATGGAACTTTCTGCTTGTGGCGAGCATTATGTTGGTGCTCAACTGTTTCAGATTTTGGTGTTTTTCAGATTCATGATTTTGGATTAGGACTCCTAGCAGTCAGGACATTCCAGGGGCCTACAGATCACAACCTAGTAGGAGAGCCAAAGTCTCCCCTTTGATTCAGGTTAATTCTGCACTCTGCATTAGGACAGTCTGAACTAAGGCCTCCCAGCTCCGATTGTCCCACTACTCTGTGTTCATCTACAGGGTTCCCATTCTGCAGATATTTTCCTGGTCATGACACTGATCTTCAGTGAGATGGTGCTTTATCAAATACCCACTGTGAAAGAGCACCTGAAAATGCCTTATAATCATTGATTCCATTATTAAATAATGATATCCCAAATGTTTATATCTGAAAGAAAAATTCTGTACAACTCTGTGATTCTCTTTCCTTGATTACATGAACTTCTGTCTATGCAGGGCAGATCTTACAGAGCCCATTTTCCAAATGGACAAACTGCTTTTCTTAATCACTTGGCCTTTACTGTTACAGGGAGGAGGCAGACGCTGTACGTGGGGCTCTGATTGAGAGTGAAGCACACAAGGAGAGGTTTTTGAATGCATTTCCTCATGTGAAAAAGGAGCTGGAGGAGGGCGTAGCCAAGCTCTACACCCTTGCAGATAAGGTCGACAAGGTGCACAAGGACTGCACCATCACCAACCTGGTGGCCAGTTCAGCCAGTGCTATCTCTGGCCTCCTGACCATCCTTGGCCTGGCTCTGGCACCGGTGACAGCAGGTGGCAGTCTAGCGCTCTCAGCCACTGGGATAGGGCTGGAAGCAGTGGCCACTGTGGCTGGTGTTTCTGCTGACATTGTGGACCACTCAAACAAGTTGTCAGTGCAAGCTGAAGCCAGGCGCCTGGTGCCAACCAGCATGGACACAGAGAAGGAGATTGTGCCGGCTGTGGGTGAAGCCACACCCAAAGTTATTTTTGCAACTGAGAAATGTGTGCAAGCATTCCAAGCCATTGAGAAGAATGTCTGTGCCATTAATGTGGCTAAATCCAACCCTCGGTTGCTAGCCAAGGCCAACTGCCTTATGAAAACTGGGAAACTCTCAGTCCGAAGTGGTAAGCAGGTGCAGAGGGCCCTTGGAGGAACCGTTCTGGCAATGTCCAAAGAAGCCCGGATCACGGGTGCAGGAACAGCAGGCATCGCACTTCTGAAGGATGTGTACAGACTTTTTGAAGATTCATTGCATTTGCACAAGGGGGTAAAGACAGAGTTGGCTGAAGAGCTGCGGCAGCAGGCCCAGGTCCTGGAGAGGAAGTTGGAGGAGCTCATCCGCATCCAAGAGAGTTTGGAGTCAGACCTGACTAAGTGACACACTGTCCAAGCAGAGCAGAGCTCAGGGTTTTTGTGATTTTCAAACACAAGGACAAAGGCAGGAAGTGTGGCAGAGGCAACATAGAGGGTGAGCTCAAATCTGTTCTGGGTATTAAGGAATTTTTGCCTTTCTGAGGCTAAGCATATCCGGGGAGGGGTTAGTGCAGATAAGTGAATCAAAGAGAAAGGATGGACCTGGGGCCTGAAATAAGGGACAGGAAGTGACTAAGGTGCATGGGGAATAGGAGGAAAGTGCTCATTTTGTCTGAAGAATTCACTGGGGACCTGGATAGAAGCAGCTGCAGGAAGAAGCACTGGAAAGTTGGGGAAAACAGAAGAGCGGAAGTTGGGAGGGGCCACCGTTAGAACTGCTGGGACCTGGGAGGAGGAATGGGCTCTGCCTCCAACCCTCCGCACAGGCAAACATCTCAGCACGAGCGCAGTCTGCCCTTTCTTTCCAGTGTCCACAAACCCTTGTCTCCGTCAGGCAGTGACTTCCTGATGATGGCGGTGATGATGATGATGGTGCTGGTGGTTTGGGGCTGATGATGGTGGTGGTGGTATTGGGGATGGCGTTGGGGGTAATTGTGGTGCTAGGGGTGGTTGGCGTGGGGAGTGATGACTGTGGGCCTGGTGGAGCACTTTGCAGGTGGCCAGAGGGGAGGAGGGAAGTATAGAGGTTGAAAAAAGATTTAGGGAGTGTTAGTGCATGTACCACTGCCACAAGGAATGTAATCATTATGTATTGTAAACATGTAGTAATAAATCAGAATTGTAAAAAAAAAAAAAAGGTATTTCTCTTTCCAAAGGGTGGAACTCAAAATTTGTTTTACTTGAGGCATAGCAAAAATAGGTACAGTATTTCTAACATCAAAAATACAATCTTGATTGGTCAGTAATGCAGGCAAAATGCACGTTACCAGTACTGGAGAAACCTTTAGTTTACTTTTTGTTTTTCATTTTTGAGACAGGATCTCCCTATGTAGGATAGGCTGGCCTTGAACTCACTGTGACCTAGGCTGGCCTCAAACTAGGAGGTTCAGCCTCATGAGTGTTGGGGTTATAGTCATGTGCCACCATCCTTGGCTCCTTTATTTTACTTTAACCAATCTAATTTAAAAAAGATTTATATAAGTCTTCCCAATCAAAAGTAATCGCTGTCAGGGATTTACCGCGGTGGTGCCACACCTGCCTTGCAAATGCAAGGTCCTGAGTTCAATCCCATTACCAAAAAAAAAAAAAAAAAAGAGTAGTTTGTTTTTTTCCTTAATTTATGAGTGCTCATTAATTTGTACATTAACTTGGTATCGTGTAAACAGTTTACAAACCTGAAACACATATAGAAATAACTTGTAAGACACGTGCACACAAACATACATAGATACAAAGATCGTGTGGTTTTAATTTAGATTTGTTATTTATTTATTTTTTAAAGGTTAAAGCGTTGATCTGATTCCTTTTTCACGATCCTAAGAAATCCTTAATCCTAAAACTGTACCTCTGGTGATATTGTCATAGTAAGGTCTGAGGAGGTTCCATGAAGTGGAGATGAGGAATCTCAACTCACCCCACCAATAGGATAGGTTGTAGGCTTGCTGATTTCCATTAAGGAAAAATAATTTTTAAGACATATCAGTGAGAGGCATAAAAAGACTTATTTGGTTCAATTTCAAAGTACTCAGAAAGAATAGAGAGTAGGTCCAGAAGAGAGACAGGTAAATTCTGACCAGGGGTTGGGGTTTTTGGTGGGCTCCTAGGAGTCCTCAAGATGCGTGATCTAGGATGTGCGTTCTTCATGTCTGTGGAGCTTCCCCATCTGGTGGGCCGTGTCAGAATGTGAGCCATTTACACGGGGCTGAAGCTGAGATATACTGCCCTTTCAATAGTGTGCTTGTGTGAGCATGGAGATTGGCAGGAGGGAGCCCAATGTTCATGCAGAGTTATGGACCCAGAATAAGGGAAAGGCAAGTACCCAGGTCTCAGTTTGCAGACACTGTGTTAGGGACGTTGCTTTGTAAGAGTTTCCTGGAAGGGAAATAGGTGTTGCACTGTGTGGCTGTGGATGCACAGAGGATGAAGATTATCCAGAAAAGAGATTTAGTTCCATCACTGACAACCCAGAGGGCCTGTTTCTTGGGCATAAGAGAGGCCATGGAAAAAGCAACCAACTGAGCCCTCTGTGATTATTTATTTGTAACTCAAGGGTATGAAAACAAAGACATGGAAGAAAAGCATTTTGCTACATATTGTATAGGAGTTTATGCCAGAGGACATGGCCAAAATGGGACAGTTTGCTACCTGACACATGTCCACCTAGTTTAGATAAGGTTTTGGGGGCAGAGGGGACACAATGGCCAAAGCAAACATCTCTAACAATAACTTGAACTTCATTCTGTTGACGGTTGTCCTGCAGATTCTGCTCTAAACTCTAATACATTTCAGGAGCACAGGAGCTATTGTTGTCCAAGATCTCTTCCTTGGTGCACTCAGGTTCAACCCCTCCTTTGGCCAGAGACTTCCCACATACAGGCTTGAATAATTTTTGTGTCCTGAAATTGTAGTTTTCTTAAAAGTACAATTTAAAAATTACCATTTTCCTTATTTCTTTTTAAACCTCTTTATTTGATCCTTCCTTATGTGATTTTTGAGATAAGGTAGAAAGTTTACATCTGAAAGTCAGAGAATATTATCTGTGCCCACCTAATGTGGGAAAACATTTCTGGAAAACATTTCAAATTTTTCTTCCTCCTTTTATTTATCATGGGTTTTAGTCATTGCAGAAAGAGCTTGCCCTAGAATTTAAATCATTTCCTATTTCATCAAAATTTCGACACACCTCAGAAGAACTCTAAATATACTTGTACTTTCACTCAGTCATCCAAGACCTCTAGCTTAGGGTAGTAATAAAACCTAGGAACATTGAATGTTCCCCATGGAGAGAAACACAAATTTAGGTGTCTTTTATCAAATTTTCCCATTTTTGTTAAGTACAGTGCCATCATAGTTATTAAGGACACATTCAGTTGGTGCACAAAATATTGCTTTCTTCTTTAACAATCCCTCCTTCCTAGAATGTTTTTCATGTTTATTCCATTTCTCTTGAAAAATTGAAACCTTTTATGCTTGCTGGTGAGACCTGTATTTTGGATCAATTTAATGTGCTGCTTATAGGATCAATCTGTCAGACAAGTGGACACTGGACCCTGGTGCTAACCTTCCATACCACAATGTCACTGGGGGTCTGGATAGCTCATGGTGTTGGCCTCAGCCACGGGATGGTGGCCCTCAAGGGCTGGTGAGTACAGCAGCGAGCAGCCAGGTGGCAGGGGTCCTGATCATTCAAACTCTTTACTGTCCCCATTGCCTGCGAATTAGTGAAAATATTCACTGACATCATCAAATATACAGCATCTAAGAAGAACTTTGAAGATCTGTATGTAGAATCTAGTTTCTGAAAGTATCAGGAGGAATGGGATTGGTTGAAAGAAGAGTTTTGCATTTGATATCAGAAGAGGAATACTGTAAAAGTGAAATACTGGGACGAGGATGGGTGATGTGTTGATTGAACTAGAAGAATGGGAGTATTTTCTGTACAAAAATGTTCCAGTGTGCAAGACAGACAGGGTAGAGGTAACAAGCAAAAAAACTAAGTAGCTTTCTCCATCTGCTGTGGAGCAGAGTCAGGAGACAAGAAAGTGTAATGGCTGCTAGATGCAGCAGGGGGCAGAATCCAAGGTGGGGATGAATGGGTTCAACAGTGGAAGCTGTGATCAGGAAGAAAAGCATGTTGTAGAAGCAATGAGAAGAATTTAATAAGAACCACAGAAAGACCCCTAGATTCTGAGGTCTGAATCGGGAGATCAGACTAGAGGATATCTCAAAAATATTCTCCAAATTATGGAGAGCCAGAGGGGGATGGGAAAGTTGGAATTAACTGCTTTCATGAAGTGCAAAGAAGCATATGCAAAAGACAAAGAAACGGGGTCACAACAGGAGTCCAGGGAAAATGGGAAATGCTTCAGAGACCCAGGCAAGGAACCATGGATGGAGTTGAGGTCAAAGAAGGATGCTGGATGGTGGGAGAAGACCTCCCATATGGGATGAACTTGCCCTAGGAAAAAAGAGGGCTACATTTGTTTGAACAATTGGAACTTTGGGTATAGCCATACATCCTTTTTTGTTTGTTTGTTTGTTTTTTTTGAGACAGGGTCTCACTATGTAGTGAGACTGACCTGGAACTCACTATGTAGCCCAAGCTGGTCTCAAACTCACAGCGATCCTCCTGCCTCAGCCTCCCGAGTGCTGGGATTACAGGTGTGCACCACCACACCTGGCAAACCATACATTTTTGTTATATATTTACAGTACACAATGATTTCATTCATTATGGAACCTATATGCCAATAATATGGAAATTATAGAAGAAATGGACAGATTCCTAAAGTTGAACAAAGATGACCTAAAATTCTAAACAACCAAATATCAACCAATATCAATCAATGAAATTGAAATGTAATTAAAAACTTACTTCTGGGGAGTTGGGGTGAGTTCCAGGTCAGTCTCAACTACATAGTGAGACCCTGACTCAAACCCTCCCCCACCAAAAAAGCAACTATGAAAAGCCTGGGCCTGTATGGCTTTGCTTTTGAATTCTACAAGACATTTAGAGAGGAACCACTGCAACTACTGTTTATACTCTTCAGTGAAATTGAAAGGGAAGTAATACTCTCAAATTCATTCCTGGAAGCAAGCATCACCTTGATCCCTGAAGCAAAGAAAGACCCAACTGAAAAAGAGAACTGTAGGCCAATCTCACTAATGAACATACCAGCAAAAATCCTTAATAAGATACTTGCAAATAGAATTCAGAAGATCATCAAGAAGATCATATGTCCTGACCAACTGGGATTCATCCCAGGGATGCGAGGGTAGTTCAACATACACAAATCAATAAATGTAATACACTATATTAACAGAGCCAAGAACAAAAACCATATGATCATCTCAATAGATGCACGAAAAGCATTCAGTAAAATCCAACACACATTTATGATAAAACCCTACAAAAAATTGGAATAGACAGTCTCTACCTCAATCTGATAAAGGCCATCTGTGTACAACCAACAGCCAATATCATAGTAAATGGTGAAAAACTGAAATCCTTCACAATAAAATCAGGAACAAGACAATGATGTCCACTATCTCCACTCCTGTTCAATATAGTTTTGGAAACATTAGTCACAGCATTTAGACAAGAGAAAGAAATAAAAGGAATAAAGATAGGAAATGAAGAAGTCAAATTGTCATTATTTGCAGATGACATGATGCTCTATATAGAAGACCCCAAGAACTCCACCAAAAGTCTTCTAGACTTAATAATCAAATTCAGTAGAGTATCCAGATACAAGATCAACACACAAAGATCAATAGCTTTCCTATACATGAACAACAGACTTGCTGAGAGAAAAAAATGGGACCAATAATTCCTTTCACAATAGCATCCAAAAAATTGAAATACCTAGGAATCAACCTCTACTCTGAAAACTATAGCGATCTGAAAAAAGAGAGCTAGTTGATATCAGAAAATGGAAAGACATCTTTCTCTTTTGGGTAGTAAGAACCAACACAGTGAAAATGGTCATACTGCCGAAACTACTATGTAGCTCCAATGCAATCACAACTGAAATTCCAGAAGCATACTTCACAGACCTTGAGAACACAATCCAAAAACTCACTTGGAACAAGAGACCGAGACTAGCAATAGTAATTCTACTTAATAAAGACAAGGTGGGGGTTACCACAGTCCCCAACATGAAACTACACTACAAAGCTACTGTGATAAAAACAGCATGGTACTGGCAAAGAAACAGACCTGAGGACCAGTGGAACAGATTAGATGATGAAGAAACATCTCCAGACACACTCAGCCATCTCATCTTCAACAAAGGAGCCAACCACCCTCACTGCAGGATAGAAAGCCTCTTTCATAAATGGTGCTGGAAAAATTAGGTTTCAACTTGCCAAACATTAAAACTAGACCTATATCTCTCACCATGCACTAAACTAAAATTGAAATGGATTAAAGATCTAAATATTAAAACAGAAACACTAAATCAGCTGGAAGAGAGGTTAGGTAGAACTCTTGAAGACATTGATGTAGGAAAATATTTTATGAACAAAACCTCAGTTGCCCATGAATAAGCACAAAGAATCAACAAGTGGGATCTCTTATTAAAAAGCTTCTGCACGGAAAGAGAAACCACTGACAGTGTGAAGAGACAACCAATAATGTTAGAAAAACTTTTCACCATCTCTTCCTCAGACAGAGATCTACTATCTAGAATATATAAAGAACTTAAAAAAAACAGACCTCCCAAATTTAAAGAGCCAATCCAAAAATGGCCATCTGAAATGAACAGACATTTCTCAGACAAAGAAGTAGAAATAGCAAAGAAACATAGGAAAAAATGTTCAACATCACCAATCATTCAAGAGATGCAAATGAAAACAATGCTGAGATTCCATCTCACCCAGAAAGAATGGCAGCTCTCATAAAATCAACCAATGACAAATGATGGCAGGATTGTGGGGAAAGAGGAACCCTGCTCCACTGCTGGTGGGAGTGCAGACTGCTGCAACCATGATGGAAATCGGTATGGAGATGCCTCAGAGAACTAGGATTAGAAGTCCCATTTGACCCAGCTGTTCTTCTGCTAGGTATCCTCCAAAAAGAATTAAAAGAATCACACCACAGAGACATACGTGCACCCATAGCAGCACAGTCTGTAATAGCTAAAACTTGGAAACAACCAAATTGCCCATCAACTGGAGACTGGATAAGGAAAATGTGGGTTTAAAAAAAAAAAAAAAACTAGAACACTACTCAGCCATAAAGAATGAGAAATCAGAGACATTTATAGCTAAATGGATGCACCTTGAGGTGATGCTCTTAAGTGAAATACATAGGACATGTATGTGTAAATACCAAATAGTTTCTCTAGTGTGAGAAACTAAAAGTGTAGATAAGGACTAAAAGGTAAAATAGAGAATGTGAAATAGGAAGAAAAGGGGCAAAGGGGAAGGGGAAGTGGGAGGGGGAGGGGAAAGGAAAGGGGGTATAGAATTCATATGAGAAAAAGACAAAGTGGAAACAAAGTCTTTGTAGATAGGGAGGGGTGGAGGGGTTGAAGGAAGAACAGGGGAATGGGGAAAAAATAAGAACCAAGATGGATTATGTGAAGGTGCAAATTTCCAGCGATGAAAGTCATTATATCGTATACCTTAAATGTACCAATAAAATTAATTTTATTTGTCTGTGTGTTTTTTGAGACAGGGTCTCACTATGTAGTTGAGACTGATCTGAAAGTCATTATGTAGCCCAGGCTGGTCTCGAACTCACAGAGATCCTCCTGACTCAGCCTCCTGAGTGCTGGTATTATAGACGTGAGCCACCATGCCCGGCAAAATTAATTTTAAAGTGAGAAAAGAAACATAAAGTGGAAACAAAGCTCTTGTATATAAGAAGGGGAAGAGGACTAAAAGAGTGAGAGCTGAACGGAAAAAATATGAATCAAGATTATATTATGCACAGGTTCAAATTCCATATGATGAATGTGACCACTATATCTCTTGTACCAATAAACTGAATTAATGATTAAAAAGATGTTGCCTTTCAGTTTCACTCTTAAGTGCAGGGGAGTATTTACCTGAAGAAAGCCTCTGCTCATTACTCCTTGCAGCGACTGGATCCACACAGCAAAGAGCAGCTGGATTGGGTTGTCTGGGTCTCAGCGGGAGGACTGAGCCACAGGAGAATTCCTTGGTAAGTTGGAGGCTCCCCCATATTCTCAGCCTGGCAACCACTGTGTCAGAGAAGGGTTTTTTGATCCCCATTTTGCAGATGAGCTCAGAGACCTTAATAAATAGACCCCGGGGCACACAGCAAAGCAGAGCCTGGATCTGCACCCAGGTTTGTGTCTGACTGAATCCCCCTCAGTGTGCCCTCAACAGAGGAGAGTATGGGGACTGCTCAGATGAGTCACAAAGCTCCCTGAGGCTCAGCTTAGGTGACAGGGTGCTGAGACAAGGGCTTGTGACGCAGAGAGAGGGTGGATGGGAGTGGATACCTCTCTGAGAAATTTTAAGGAACTAACGGCGGTGGAGGAGAGCAGAGGACCTGAGGATGCCCCAGGGGGCTGCTCCTGAGGCCTGAAGGGGCAAAGCGATTCTCCGGAGATACACGGAGCCCAGGGTTGTCTTGCGCGCCCTGTGTCCGAGCGCCTACTCGGCTCTGGGCCCTGTGGGGAAGCTGAGCCTTGGGAGCAGACGGACTTGCTTCCCAGGGTCCTGGGGAGGAGGCTGAGCATGTAGATGGCCAGCTTGTGCCCACTGGCCAGCACCTAGTGCTCTGTAAACATAAGGGGGAGAAGGAAAAGGTGGAGGCTTTGCTTTGTGTAGGGAGGAGCAATGTGCAGACACATTGGGCCCAGTGGGGAAGGTTGTTGAATGGGGTCCCCAGTATGACCCAGCCTTTGTAATCCACAAAAGCAAGGCCATACTGTCAGGGTAGACTTTTGTGCCTGTGCAAGCAGGCAAAAAGAAGAAAATTTGGATGAGGAAAAATCTATGCTTCAATCCTGGAGGCAGAGGCCAGTGCTGGCCTCCACTCTGCCCACCAAGAGCCATGTGCCGCTGGGAAGTCACTGCCGCTCCTGAGCTTCTGCCTTTCCTCCCTGGAGATAGAGTTAGAGCTCTCTGCCTTGCTGAGCCCTCAGCCAGCTGCTTTCTACCAGTTGGGTGGGGCTTCCACAGGCAGTGGAAGAGGGGGCAGCAGGGATTGTGACCCCAGAGGCCACTGGGGCTGCAAGAAAGTGGGGCAAAGAGAGACTCGTGCTGGGTTCTCAGAGCAGGCGATGCTCAGGGAGGAGAGTTCTGGCCCAGCTGCCACATTCCGGTACACTTCATATATTGACAATGAGGTGAAATTTAAACCTCACGCAAGCCAGCAAGCACACACACACACACACACACACACACACACACATACACACACACACACACACACAACTTTCTCTCTCTGGCTGCTACGTGAAGCCTGGTGTTTTCAGTCTGACACACACCGCTCTGAGGCTGTTTTATTACATGCCACTTCTCCCTCCTTCCCACTCTGTTTAAGGATGGCACGGAATTCCCCAGTATCAATGGACTCTACTCTCTGTCCCAGTGGAGTTTGAAGATTAGTTATTTCTTGCTTTTTTCTTAAAACCCGCCTGAACACCACCTTCACACCCTTGCCCACTTTCCTCCTGCACACTGTTACTTCTGGGTCGGTGGTGTGGACACCTGGCAGTGTGGACCGGCTACAGTGCAGGCACCTCCTAGTGTTGCGGGGGACTTGCTGGTCATCTTCCTGAACTCCGGAGTCTGTTACATGCACCGATAGCCAAGCAGAAGCACACTCAGACAGTCCTGTGTTCAATGGGAACAGCACGGCTGGGGTCACAAGCCAGGCAGAGCAAGGTAAAGAGGGACTAGAGCCCAGCACAGTGAGGCTGCAGGCCCAGCCGAGGACACCAGAGTGTGGAGGGAGCCTTCCTCCCTTTCCGCTGTGATCCATCCCCGAGATGCACAGATGGCTGTCACAGTTTTCAGCTGCCACTGGGGACCCTTCTCTATAGAGGAGCCCTGACCATTAGGTGGGCGGGAGGCCTTAGTGATGACCTCTGAAGTGAGGACAGCTGGCTGCCAGTTTCGTATAATTTGAGAAAGTCTGAGGACACTTGAAAGTGTCTACCACAGAGGAAAACATGTCCCATGCTAACTCGTCAGTTCAGGACTTGACAGGCTTGGGGTTTTATTACAGCTGGGTCTCAGTGTCTCATGACTCTTTGCACATGGCCATGGCTACACACAGGTGAAGCTGTCTCCAACTGGGGCATCTTTAGAGGGCTGACATCCAATGAGGCCTGAAAGTTTTGGTGACAAGTGTGGGGCAGGAGGTGACAGGCTATGGGGCGTCAGGGTGCAGCAGGTCTGCCAGCCAGGTCTCCTGCTCTCCATCAACTGAGGCAGCAGCCAGACACACTGACCTTCAACTTGGAAGGGCAAAGAGCACCAGGCGTTGGAAGAAAGGATACCACAGGCAAAGAGGCCTTTGAGATCCCTCTGACGTGGAGGATTTATTATGTACATTCTAAGTGCCCAGCACTAGCCACACTCCAATGTCTCAGGCACAGAACAAAGACCATCCTTTTTTTTTTTAAACCTGGCATTCCTGGTGATTGAACCCATGGCCTGCACTCTGAAAAGACTTTCAACTCTTTATTATTTCTACCCTTTATTTTTATTTTTTGAATAGAAAGTCTTGTAGCGCAGATAAGTTGTCCAGGCTGGGGCTTGAACTTCTGAATTTCCTGCCTCGGAGTCACAGGGTATGCGATTATAGGGATGCACCCCAACACCCAGATTCTAGCTCCATTTTTTTATTTTATTTTGGTACTGGTGAGGCAGTCACCAGAACCACTGTTCTAAATCCCCAGCACATCTAACTTCATTTTTGACAAGCTCTTCAAAGTCCTGGAATTTCTGAAACCACATTCAGGTTTTCTAATTTACCAGGAGAACTCACAGAGCTCATTACACCACTGCAGTTTATTATAGGGAAAGGACACAGCTTCAAGTCAGTCAAAGGAAGAGCTGCATAGGCCTGAGTTTCCAGGGGTTGGCAAATGGAGCATTCAATTCTCTCAGGACACAGTGCACTCTATTAGTTACATGGCACAGTTCGCATCGGGAGTTGCCAAACAGGGTCTCAACTTGGGAAAGGTTCCTTATTCTGACACAAGTCAAAGCAGTGAGGAATTCATCATTCAGCACAGTTGCTCTGGAGAGAGGGACGGGGATCACCTCTGGACACAGTAGGGACAGCTGGGAATTAACAGCCAACGAGGAGGCTCATTATTAACAGGACTATAAATACTAAGTGATTCTGTGACAATGACTTCACGGGACTCTTCCTGAAGCAGGTCAGGGACAAGTACCTCAGAGGTTGGCGACACGCACCTGGTCAGGTATAGGGGTGGTGGGTTCTCCCTGTCCTGACTTAGAAGGGTTTAAGAAAGAGTAATGCAGAGTCATGTGACACAAGGTGGACCTCGAAAGCCAAAGTCAATGCCCCAGTGAGAAGATGTTCAGAAAAGCTTAAGTACACTGTGGACAAGGGAAGAGTCCTTTTCAACTCTAACCCCAGTGTCTGGGGTTCTTTGGAGGCTGATTCACAGTCTGCCCTCATGGCTGAACTGGGTTCTCCCTCGCACACCACAGCCCAGTGACTGTAGCGTCCAATTCCTGTGTGTTTGAGAAACCATCGCAAGGCGCTATAGTTCATCCCATTGCTGATAGTGAGCATCCTTCGTGGGAAACACTAGGGACTGCAGATGTTTTAAGTTCTGGATTTTTTCCTCATCTTTAAGTATTTGTAGTTTAATAATGTCACCGCACAGAGTCGAGATCCAGGTCTGAACAATAAATCCATGAGTGTTTCTTTACATTTTGCACACATAGAGAAAAAGATATTTTTCAGTATTTTAAAAACTGCCTGTGTTTTCACTGTGACCTATTCCCTAAGGACATGTTGCAACTTCTACTTGTGACATTGTATCAAAAGGATGTCTTTTGGCTACAGTTCAAATTTAGGATCTTTAGATTAGGGATGCTGAATTTGTGTGACATTGTGTCCAAAGTCCGCAGGAAAACCAAGATATTCCCGGAATTGAGGACTGTTCAGGGGTTTACAGATCACATCCCGGTAGCAGATCACCTCCCAGCAGCTGGGGGAGAGAGAAAGCTTCTTTTTGGGTAGAATTCATTCTTTGCTATACTGATAAGCTCTGAACTAAGGTCCTGTCCAGGACTACTTCTCTTTTCCCCTGAAGAATTCCCACCCCGCAAATACTAGGCACTCACAGCATGGACCTGAGTGAGCAAGGGTCTTTATGAAATGACTTCCAGGAAAGATCATCTAGAGGTGACTTTTACTCATTACCCCCTTATGGACCACAGAGCGTTTAAAAGGCCCAAAATATGGTCACCATTGAAAGAAAAATTCCTTATACCTGTACGATTCTTTACCTTTGCATTTATGATTAAAGGACCTGTTGCCGACACTGGATCGAGCGTTAGAAATCATTTTCCAGATAAATGAAATATCTCTCTTAATCCATTGAACTTTACTGTTACAGGGGTGAGACCTACGCATTACGTGAGGCTCCGGAAGGGCTTCTCACTGACATGGCCGACGCGAACAGAGAGAGGAAACAAGAAGCCCAGCTCAGTGACCTTGTAGACCACGTGGTGTCCAGCTCCACTGACACTGCCGCTGGTGTCATGTCCGTCCTCGGCATAGCTCTGGCACCCTTCTCAGGAGGGGCCAGTCTGGTGCTCACTGGAGCTGGGGCCGCACTTGGAGCAGCAAGCAGTGTGATTGCTCTTGCCTCTGCTGCCGTAGAACACAGCAACACATCATCACAGCAGGATTCAAACAACAAATGAAAGGGAGGCTACCCTAGAGAGCGACACTGCCCGAACCGTGGGGTTCCAGCAACAATAAAGCCCATCCCTGCTGTTCTCCAGCCCTGTCTTTCATTGTCTGACTCCAGGGTGATGATGACAGCGATGGTGGTGGCGGTGGGGGCAGGGGTTGGGGTGCTGCTGGCGGTACAGCGGTAATGGCGGTGATGACATCAGAGAAGGGGGAAGCCCTTGGCAAGTCATCCTGCCTCCACGGGGCCAGGATTCATTGAGGGATCAATGAAATTCCAATGAAACTCCAAATGTTGTGTTGGAAGAAGACAGTTGATGTGTGTGTGTGTGTGGGTTGAAACCAGATCCAAGGAACAGGTGCAGGGACCTGGTGATGGTAAAGATCAACCAGCTCGTGGTCAAGAGTCTCAGCTTCTCTCAGGCTGTTTGTCCATTCATGCTGATATCTCAGATTCACCCGGCTCTTCCTGTCTTTTGTTCTACAAAATACAGTTCAACAAATATTAGCTGACTGTTGTAAGAAATTTGGGTGTGGGGTGGGGATTTAGCTCAGTGGTTCTGGCGCCTGCCTTGCAAGAACAAGGACCTGAGTTCAATCCCTGGTGCAAAAAAAAAAAAAAAAATTTGGGTGTAAAAATGCCAACTACCACAGCCTGAAGGTGTCAGAACACCCCCCCACACACACACCAGGCCAAAATATCCGGGATTACACAGAGAGTAATTTTTGCTGGGGAACTATGGATCCAAGTCTGGTAAAGGGCAGCCAGAAGACTAATTAGCCCTGCAACTTGGGTCAAGGAAGGGGCTCTGAGGTCAGGAAAAACACTGGGATGTACCTGGTTTATCTCAAGATGACATTTAACAGGTCAGGCACATTCCTGGGACTGATATGGCAGGTAAAGTTGGACTCTCATGCCAGTCCTGTGGCTATGATTCTCTACAGTATGGTGGGAAGCTGTGGAGATAAAAGGAGGCCATGGTCACTGAGGAAAAATCATATCAGTAACTTCTCAAGATGGCTGTGGTTAGGTCAAGCTGGATCCTGACACTGACACCCTGAGCCTTTGTTGTGCTGATTGACTGTTTATCTGGCACCGATGCCTGACTTTCCTTCCTCATGGACTTTCACCCTCTGCCTTCCTTCCTACTCACTGGGCTCCCTCCCCTCCAGCCAGTCATTTCCTTCAGAATGTGGTGACTGCAGCCACGTGGAACGCAAGGGTGAAGCACACGGTGCCCGACTCTGGCTGAGCACAGGTGCGTTCCCCAACCAGCAGCTGAGATCCAGGACTGAGAGGCAGCACCTGAACTGGGTTAAGATCAAACGGGCCTGCACGCAGTGCGAAGGAGACTGAGCGTGACGAGGACAGAGAGACACTTAGACACCAAGCATCTTCATTCGGATGACTGTAAATTCCCTCAAGATCCACGCGAGGGCTTGTAGCATACACCGTGTGTTTCACATGGCCCTGTCCTCGCCTTCATCAACACTGGGCCAGAGTCACCATCAGAAAGACGGAGTTAATGAGGTACTTTCTCCCATCTGCAGGAAATACCGTGAAGAAATTCCACTAGATAGGGGAGGACAGCAAGGGGCCGGGAGAGCCCAGAGCTGATTCAAGTACAAGACCTGATTCAAGTACAAGGCCTCCAAGCCCTCATGAGATGCAGGATCTTGTGGAAACAAGAATGTGGGAGCTTTGGAAATCATGACAGGGGGAGCAGGAAATTTACCAAGATAGGAACTTGGGTACCGGGTAAAAGACTGATTTTCAATGAGAAGAGTCATTTACCATGATCATATATACATTAGCAAATATTTTGTATAGTAAAGGACTAAAATACAGTCATCAGAAAAATGAATTCAGATCACAAAGTTTTCGGTTCAATTTCTGTCCCCAACACCTCTCTGCACACTTGACCATGCTACCTGATGTTTCTGATGGTTTCTTGTGCTTTAAAATGGGAGCCACAGAGGTAACCAGTGGAATGTACAGGATCGCCTCATGAGGTCTGCGTAAGCGTCCCATCATCAGAGACCCTGAATAAACACTAGCATTAATGAACACAAATGTTCCCAGCCCCAAGTAATCTGTGAAACCTGCCAACCTAGATTACTAAAGCCAATAACATTGCCCTTCGAAACCGAAGGTGGAAAGACTCTAAGCAGGCAGAAATTTAAAAAATTTCTGGGACATAAGCCAGCACTGCAGAAAATACTTAAAGGAATCCTACTAACAGAAGAGGAAGAATTTGATAAGCTACGGACAAGAAAAGAAACAGGCAAGAAGAAAAGCAACATTCAAAAAAACAAGAAAATGACAAGACTTAGTACATATCTTTCAATCACAGCTTTCACAATAAATGGTCTTCCTTCAAATCTGTACCCACTTCCACCCACTAGAGAAAATCTTGGCTGAGGGGCTGCTCAGCCCCAGGCCAGGAGCTGGGTCCCAGTGACCACGTGGGGACACCGGGGCTCACAGTGTGGCTGCAGTAGTGTGAATGGAGCCAGGCAGAGTCGAATGCAGGGCAAAAGAGACTTCTATTCTGTACACTGCCATGGGACCTCCACTCCAAACAGGTTCTATTGATATCTGGGCTTCTTAATTGAGGTTACTGGGACACTGTTCACACGCACAGCCTGGACTCTTGTTTTCTCTTCACCACCCGTTCTCCACTACATCATAAACCCAAACTGTGTGCTGCAGAAGATCAGAGGTGTCAAGGAGAGCAAGCGATATAGGGCCTCAGAGATCCATCATTCGGCCCAGTTCACCTCTGTCTTCTTTGGATGTCATCTTCCTTCCAAAAACGAAACATGATGAGGGTGACTTCTCAGAAATCCGTCCCTGGGACACTGAGGGTGACCCGCTCTAGCACACAGTGGCAACAGGGATCTGGTCAGTTCATTGTGCCGGCTTCATCCACTGGACTGTGGCCCTCGGGAACATTTTGCTACTTCATTGAACAGCCAGGGGGAGGATGTCCTATCCCAGCAACTGTGCCATCCCTGTCATCCTTGAGGGGGGGGGGGAAAGAGTCTCAGTTGGAATATTACAAACCTAGCAGTTAAGAAGAATTCTAATGCACTATACCTAGGAAACTGTTTCTCAGAGGACCCGGGAAGAGTGAGAGTTGATAAAACAGGTTTTGGAGTTGCTATCCCTGAAAAACTGAGTTTAGTACTGAGCTATTGAGGGGAAATCACATGGATTGAGTTGGAGAAGCAGAGTAATTCCGTGAGGGGGAAAGTGGATACTTTTAAGCCAGAAGGAGCAGATACAACAGCAAACACCCACCTTCTACAGCGGACTTCAGAAGGAGCAGGGGTGCAATCACTCCTAGATCCGTGTGGGTGCTGGGGGCTTTCAATGAACTCCTACTAAGGAGCTGAGACACGATGACCGAAAGCTCTTCCCTTTAATCAAGGCAATCAAAAATGGTGTTTTACTTTGTTTTTATCAGTATATGTTTGCAGGACATTTTTACATTCTATGTGTGGAGGTGGTGCGTGTACATAACACTTATTTCCCTTCTTCATTCCCTATCCCTCCCTTCTCTCCCTACTCCCATTTCTTGATTCTCTTCCCTTTGAGAAAGTGCTATCGCCCTACTTCCTGTTATCTAGCTTTTATTTTGCTCTTTATTTATAACTGGTGATTTTTCAAAAAGAAACCATGTGATCCATAAGTGTGTGCGTCTTATTTATTTCACTTAACATTGTGGTCTCAAGATGCAGCCAATTTCCTACAGAGGACTCAAATTCATCCTTCATTACGACAGCGTGTACTCTATCTTGTGGAAATACCACATTTTCTTTATCCAAAGGTTCATGGATATACAGTCTGCTTCCAAGGTTTAGTGTTGTCGTCCACGAGACCGCTCAGGGGACAAGGTTCGGGAGCTCAGACTGGGAGGGAAAGGTGCGGAAACACCAGGAAGGCTCGGAGGAGGTTTCTGGAACGCTTCCGCTTTATTTAGGAAATACACAGGCTTATGTAGGGAACCGTGGGGACGGAGTATCGGAGGAGCATTTAACATTTGGCGAGATCTTATTGGCCAGACATGGCGGAGTGATTTTTCTTGGGTGAGGCAAAGGAGTCATGGACTGGGGTGGAAGTGTAGTCCGTTGGTCCCAGTATCTACGCACTTAAGCGAGTTAGGTCAGCTTTAGCAAAGTCTCCGAGGAGACAGGAGTGCGGCGCAACTGGCCTAGCCAGGCTTGAATTTCTCCCACAGTTTAACTAGTAGGGATTGTGTTCCTTTAAGTATGATTAAGCATGCATCACTGCAAGGTGGTGATTTTAACTCTCTCAGGAGGTTAACTAGAAAGTCAATAGCTTGGTCAAATGGAATTCCTAGTTTTACATGTCTGAGAGATCTTCATATTGATTTCCATTGTGGTCACACCAGTTTACCTCTCTACCAGATACACAAAAGTGTTCCTTTTCCCCTGAAGCCCCAAGAGGGTGATGTCTTAACACCTTACATTCCTGCCCAAGGTGGGTACCCTGCAGACAGGACAGGCTGTGCTCATGACATCAGCTCTGCTGCTGGGAGATGGCTCAGCCCACAGCTGATAGGGAAAGGAAGACTCCCTATCTGGGCCATGCAGGGGCCAGGAGCAGGGCTTCCAAGATGCCATCTAGGCTTCCTCCAAACACCTCTGTTTTCCTCTCACCAGCAGCCGTTCTAGGAGTTGAGCAGCCTAAGGCTCAGCCACAGTGACCAGTCAGACTGCAGGCAGCACTACCCGGTGTCAGCACCTGGATGACAAGTACACGGTGTTGCATCTAAGTCTGAGACAAGAGTGGGACCAAGGTCAAGGTGAAGACCAAGGAAGAGACCCAGGGAGAAGACTATTCACAAATGTGCACACTGACAAAAGTCCCTGCTCTTTCTGCCCGCCTTCCCTTACAGCTCTCTGACTTGGTTCATGCTCTCATGTCTCAGAGTCTCAAAATAAATCTGTCTGAAGTTTCTACTTGTTACTCAGGTCCAACTGTGGAAAGACAAATATCGTTGTTCTCAGGATAAGGCAAGTGGCATGGCTACCAGTGGCTATGACCTGTGATTGTCTCTTCCCCTTCCTATGAGATTACCAGGGTCCATTGGCATGGAATAAAATTCCCTCCGACCTCCCCTGAGCTTCACAACCCTATGAGATTTGTTTTGCTGGGCATTCGAATGAGTTCAGAAGGCCCCATGTCACATTCTCAGTTTAAAGACACTTCTCCTTTCCCACATGCCCCAGAAAAACAGGAAACAACAACTGGGGTTCCTGTTCCAAAGCACCAAGGTCAGAGTGTGCAGTGTGTCTGAGCCAAGCCTGGCTGGAGCAGGGCCCGGTGGAGGAAATGCAGAGTCTGTCTCGCTGTACTGCTAACCCTTGGCCTTCCATAACCGGTGGTGTTGTTTCCGAGACCTATTCTGAGACAGTGTCAGGGCTGTTTTCCCATTGTATTATAATGGCCTTCCCTGTGTGTGACAATTGCCTATGGATCAAAAATTTTTGGAAAGTTCCCAACTCTAAAGCTACAGACATCCTGGAAAACACTTCTGATGACATTACCTGCTGAGCTCATTTCTTAAATGCCAAGTCTTTAAGAACTCTTCATGGGATGCTCTCTGTTCCCGGCCCTAGAGGTGAGAGACCCCTAATTCCTTCTCATGTTGAATCTGGATGCTCCATTATCGGCCTGGGTTCAAACATTATAGAACTGGGTTCAAGATCCTGGGGCTCCACATGATAACAGAATTGAACCTCCTAAGGATATGTAACATGTTCTCCATTTTACCTTGGTTTTGTGAGGCTTTCAAGCTAAAGTCATACTGGTAGAACATGGATGGGTTAGGGGGAGAAGAGGTTACAAAAAAAAAACAACCCCAAAATGTAAGCTTTAAGCAAGGAAGAGTGGCCCAAAGTGTCAAGTTGTTACTGATGAAATAGCTATATAAATGTAGCTTCAAGTTGCCTTACTTGACTTAAAAATCACTAATCCTGAAAGTTGTGCAGCTGGGTGGTATACAGCATTAGTCTCTACAGTTTTGCTACAGATAACACCTCTGCCGTGTGGACTACGATGATAAGAACTTCCTAAGTTACATTTCAGGGACTTCAGGACTGTTTCTGCTGAAAACACTGACTGTCCCATAAATGACTGGACCAGGGTAAGAACAAGTGGTTGCTTTTCTAAAGTGTGGTGCGTGGTTCCTGTGGACTCACCTGCTGTCCCTTCCTCAAATGCTAGGATGACAGGTGTCGGTCTGCAAGGCTCCATGGGCATTGGCCCAGGATGAAACAAAGCCTAAAGGAATACAGAAGTCCCACAACATTCCAGCTGAATAGCTTTTGCTGTGGAGCCATGGCAGAGCCAGAGCATTAAGCCTTGTTTCAAGGTACCACGGGAGGGGACCAGAGGACAGTGGACTTTGCTGGGGGGGGGGCATGTCAGGTGGCCTCAGGGAAAGCCATGCGTGACAGCTCCAAGTGGCGAGGCAGGTGCTTCTGGCAGAAAAACCCGTGGAAGCTCGTATCTAGAAGTGGGGTGCGCACGACGTCCCCCGACAGCAGTACAACAAAAATGAAGCCTGTGCTGGTGCTGCTGGCGGATGTGGATGAGGCAGGTGTTCTGGGCAAGGGGGCTCATGGCGGGAGGGTGCTCAGCTCCATGCCTAGCGAGGCATGGAGTAGCCTGTAGAGGGTGCCACACTTATCTGTGACAGGTCTTTGTCTTTGAAGACCACAAATAGTGCCCCAGCTGAGGTGGACTGGGCCTAGAAGGACCTGGGGCTGAGCAGGATCGTTTCACTAAGTAAACAAGCAGGGTGGGGTGAGGGTGGTGCCCAGCAGGCAGTGAGCTTGGGGTGGGTGAGGATGAGCTGCTCAGAAGTTGTGAATTTCAGTTTCTTGTCAGGTGCCGGACTCTATCTGCCCAGAGAATGCCTTTGCACACTGTTTAGTCCGCAGCTGGTGAGTGGATCCACACAGCTCAGGAGAGCTGGATTGTGTTCAGATGCAGCCAGGGGAAGAATCCTTGGTAAGTCGGGGACTTCCCATTTCTCTTTTGCTTCAGCCTCTATCTTTAGGACTCAAAAGTCTTTTCTTATGAGGTGCTTCTCTCTCCCATCTGCTTAAGGATTATATCTGATTCCCTTCTATTAATGAATTCAGCTATCTACCCTCTATGTTTAGAGAGTTAGTTATTTCCCTCCTTTTAGATGTTAAAAGTAAAGCCATTCTGTACACAATCCTCACACCACTGCACACTTTTGCACCACTGCTGGGGTAAGACCTGGGCTGCATTGCTGGGCCGCACCTAGGACACATTTCATAGTTAGGTGGAAAATGATGATCATCTTCAGAAACTCCAGAATCTTCAATAACCCATCAACCACAAAGGGACTGTGGGCCTACAGCTGGCTGGCAAAGGACGCTGCTGCCCGTTTTGTGATTATGCAAACTGCTAGTTTTAAACTGAATCTGTTTCTATTAACTCGCTTTCCCTGATTAAGTGCCAGCAGAGGAGCAGCCAGGGCATTAAGGAAAGGACCCCGACCCAAGAGTCGCTGGCAGCATTAGGAAGCAGGAGGAGAGCAAGGTGGGGGTCTGAGCCTGACATCTGGACCTGGGTGTCACCTGGGAAAGGGGCTTTAGAAGTTCACGCCACTCTTCAGCCTGGAGCTGGGTCCCATGCTTTTCACTTTTTCTTTGTCCTCATATAAATGTATCAAAAATCCAGGAAAGAGTTGTAGGTAAATAAATGGAAACTCTCAGAAATCTTGTACAACAGTCAGAATTACTTGAAAATAGCCAGGTAATTTATATGTCATCTGAGCCGTAGTCTTATCAGTTCTCTGCCAGAAGGAATTGACCATGGAGGCTGAGAAGAAAAACTGAGAGACTTCCTCAGCTGCTAGGGAAGGTGAACCTGAGCGACGTTCTCGGTGGCTGGAGGATCCTGTGTCAAGGGAATGCCTCTCACACCCCATATTTGGGCCAGCCAGGGGCAGTAGAACAGAGGCTGCGCACATTGTTTCTACTAGACCTACAGGGGCTGCTGCAGAGAAGACGACAGAGAGAGCCCCGTGTAGTGTCACGGGGAGACAGCTGTCACAGAAGATGACACAGATACAAGTACTGAGGAGTTCTCCACCTTCCAAGGAAGCCAGGGAGGACTTAGGGCAGCCAGCAGAGAGAAGGTGGCCTGTGAGACTTAACATGGAGGGGGAAGTGAGGAAGACATTCCAGGTGAAGGCACAGCCCCAGCAAAGCCCTGGAGATCATGGTCATGGGAGATGCCTGGAATCAAGGTGCATCGGGCAAAAGAAGAGGTGAGTCAGGCGGAGCTGCAGCAGGCAGGAGGGTTTGGGTTCCAGATTCAGCAACCTGAACCTGATCCTGGCAGGCCTGTAAAGGTTCTTCAGGGGCAGCCTGCTGTTTTAACTCCTCCTGTCCCCGGCCAAGGAGATTGCCCTGCAGCCACTGACAGGGAGAATCTGTGCTCAGCACCTTTTCTGAACTTCCTGGGGAGAACTCAGGCCACAGGTGAAAGGGAAAGGAGGAGTCCTTATATGTTCTGTGCAGGTGTCCGGAGGAAGGGCTGGGCAGGTGCCACCTGGGTTTCCTCCCAGTGTCTCCCTTCTCTCTCTACCAACCACCTTGCTGCCGGCAAATTCATCCCAGTAAGACTCCCTGTGTACCAGGCAGGCAGGAGCGAGCATTTCCTACATAAGCAAATAACTGAGCCTCAGAAGAGGATCAGAAAAAGGCCAAAAGTGACAAGGAAAGATGAGAAGCAGGATACAGACTATTTACAAATATGTGGATTCCCTCAAGGTCCTGCTCTTTCTGCCTTCCCACCTTTCTGGTTCTCTGGTTTGGCTCATGCATCCCATGGCTCATGATCTCAAAACCCTGTGTAACCCCAAGTCAGGCCATATTTGAAGCAAGGAAAGGGCAGCCAGCTGTCCTGTCATAACTGTCCCGTCTCACTCTGTGTTTCCCCAGAAGCTGCTTCAATCCTCACCCTTGAGTCTTGTGGGTTAGAACAGGGTGACACAGCCACTGTTACTGAACCCTCATCTGGAAGCTCATCCCACGGGAGAACCAAGGCCTGAGAGAGGGATGTTGGGGAGGTGGAAAGGTTTTATTCAGGGCCAAGAAATGAATGGGTAAATGGGAGCTTTGCTTGCAAATCCACTTCCGAATGACATGAGGGGCAGAGAGCCACAGAGAGCAAAAATAATGAGAGAAAAGACAGGCTCATGAAGGAGATGAACTTCCCTGTTCTTTCTGGGAATACACAGAGATCTCAGGTACAGCCACCTTTTTCTTACTTCATGGTCCGATGTTTCTGGGTGGAACAGCTGCTAAGACTCCTCAACCTTAAAGGAGAAGTCATCAGATCAAGCCAGTCTAGTCAGAATTCACTCTGGATTGTGGTTCAGGAAAAAGTGTTTCCCAGGTGAACAGCATGTCCATATGCGGTGCTGATTTGAATCTGACCCCGAGGTGAAGGCAGCAAAGAAGACAGACAGTTTGGAAGCAAAAACATCAAGGGTTTTCATCATGTCCAGTCAGTCACTGGGTATCTGTGTACCCAAAGGAAGAGTCTCTGTATCCAACAGAAGTGGTCTTCACATCCTTTACAAGTAACCTGGGTCACCGTTTTCATCTTAACCCATACAGCGCAGGCATTATCTGTAAGAAAAGTGGAAAGTTGACAACATATTTCCCAACTCTGTGGTTCCCCCATTCAGTGGTTTTTATGTCAACAAAGACTAAGTAAAGCTTGAGGCTTTCCTAGGTTTAGCCTCTGTCACAACTATTAGCTGCAAGATACCTCAGAGCAAGACAACTATGTGTCTCGTGTCCACTACAAGAGGCAGTGTGCAAGAAAAGCAGGGCACCAGTGACTTTTGCTCTGGATGGACAGACACTGGAGCCAGGGGAGCTGCTCCACTGCTAAAGGAAGGAACAGAGAGTGAACATGAGCACCTGGAGATGAATCTACCAGGAATGGCCAGAGCTGCTGTTGCCTGGAACAGAAGGGGACATTGTACAGACCATTGCTACCTTGAGGGCTACAATGTGGATAAAACTATACTGGGTAAATGGTAACAACAGTCCTTCTGTGTAGCCAAGACAGTGTCTCATTCTGTTTCCTTGGCAGTAAGAAACTACCTGACACAGGTTCATTTACAGAGAATAGAGGTTTATTTAGTTCATGGTTTTGGAAACTGAGAAGTCTGCGGCCATGGTGTCAGTGTCACTTCGGCATTTGCTGAAGAGATATTTGCTTTATCATAATGTGTGGGTGTTATCACATGGTGAGACAGAGCAAGCAGGATTCAGTTGAGATCTCTGTATTATGAACATGTGTGTCCAACCACGGAGACCCCACCCTCATGGCCTCATCTAATCCTAATTACCTCCCAAAGGCCCCCTCCATATCCTAGCAACATGGGAATTTGGGAATTAAGATTCTAGCACAATGCACATTAAGAGGCATATTCACACCATGGCTGAGGGTGCTTGGCACTTTGTGGGTGGCCCAGAGACCTGGGTTTGTCTGTGCTTAAGTAAAATTTCCAAGTGTTCTTGCTCTGTCATTTTATCATGGTCTCAGGGCAATGGCATCTGAAGTTGATATTCTCTGAGATTATTAATGTCCAGTAAGAGTAACACAGCCTGGCTGAGAGTCTAGGACAGCCTGTACATGTCTAGAGCTGCCCTTACTCTTTCCCAGCACTTACAGGCAGATACATAAATAATTAGAAGAGGAAACACCCATAGACTTGCCCTCTTATTAAAACTGAGTACCAATTGACCTTGGTTACTATAGTAACTCTCCACATTACAACGATAACTATTTTTAGCCTTTATAGATAGCCTTTTTATATATGTTAGTTCAATCAGTCTCTTGAATATTATACTGAACTCATGGCTCGGAGACTCCACATGGCCCAATGAAACATGATCATATTACAGAAGGAATTTGCAAGTGACACACAGAGAGGCAGCAGAATGGAAGTAAAATAACAAGTTTACTCATCAGTGAGGGTTGAATGCACATAAGCAGTGCCTGGATCGACCACACACTGGCTTACAGCCCTCCTTTTATAGGGTTTTACAGCCTTGACTTCATTTGGGTGGCTCCATTTCATTCTCATAGTTCTAATCACAGTCACAGGATAGTTAACTTTTCAGCCCAGATATAATCCCTTATGGGACTTTACCTTTGAGATTCGCCCAGTTACCTATTGTAGTCCATAGGAAGGGTTGTTCAGGGGCAGGGGAGCAAATGTTAGGAATGGCCCCTTTCATCTTGACACTTTTACGGTACTGTAGCTCCTGTCTCTTCGGAGCTCAAGACCTTGATGTGCCCTGTTATCTCAGGGTAAGACCAAATGCAGCAGTTAGTGCCTCCTGTGTCTTGTTAGTTCTGAGCTAAACAAGACAAACTGCTGTTAGAGACAGCAGAAGCTATTTTATCTTATGACATTTTATGGATTTTTGCTATTTATAAAAGTTTTCTCTGTCAGTCACACTGACTCCTCTCAATTCGTGCATACTACTGAAGTTGTTAGGACGCACAGCTGCCTTTCTGAGCACTGTTCCATACATCTTAGAGAGCAGACTTGGTTCCCAGAGCAGTAGATATCATGGGCTGAGAAGTCCTGGTTTCTCTGAGTGGAGAATATATCCCTATGTCTGTCTATGAGGGACAAAGAGCTTCCAGAAAATAGATCTTTTCAATGTGAGCTCTCACTCTGATTTTTCCAGTTTACTAGCAGGAAAGGTACATTTCAGCTCCCACTTTGAGTTTCAGTCTGTAGTCAGCTGCCTCTAAGGCAGGGCAGAATAGCCGAGGGCATCACAGAGGAGAAACTGTCCATGGAAGGGTAGGCAGAAAGCAACAAAGCATGGACTCTCACTTCCCCTTATTTCCCATCTGGGCTACAAGCACTTTGGTTGGTGTCACTAACGCTCAGAGTGGACCTTGTCATTATCCACACCTGGAACCAATCAGTGAACTAATCCAGTGCCACTCAATGTTACTCCCACTGACACACCTCCCAGATCCAGCACCTCTTAAAAGCCCTATTTATGAGCAGATGACATATGGGGGGACATATAGGTAGATGACATAACAGTGACCATCCCTGCTTTATCCTTAGAGAGTTTTGATCTATCAACCAGTAAGATTTCTCATAAACTGACATTTGTCACACCAATTCTTTCCCAGCACTTGTTCAAACTCCTCTCATCTTTGAAGTGTTGGCACCAAAAAATAGTGCTTTACTGTAATTCCAGGCACTGACTACGAAAAAATGACACCTGTCTTCTTAAAATTAAAAAAAAATCAAAGTATCAAGTGCATATAATTGGGGAAAAATCAGTTAGTATGAAGGGCTTTGCACTTGACCCAAGGAAAGCTGTTACTTTCATTTTTTATCCTTTTCTTCAGAAAGTAAGTGTGTGTGTGTGTGTGTGTGTGTGTGTGTGTGTGTGTGTGCGCGTGTGCGCGTGTGTGCTGCTAAGGAGGATACAATATCTGTGAATGGTATTCTTGTTCTAGGAGATGAAATAGCATGAAAGTGTGCATGTCTGGAGATGATTTCAATTCTTAACTTCGGGTAAATTTACTTCTCCGAGTACCATCTGAAACACACAGCTGATAATCATAATTTTCTAATAGAATTGTGACAGAACTTGAAAATGAGCGCCTCCAAAGCCCTTAGGCTGTGCCTAGCAGATGTAGATTGAGAATCAATATTAGCTCTTCCACGGTCCTTTTTCTTCATTTTGAAATTTAAATATTGTTTATTTACTCTGTAGTAGGATAAAGACTTTTTTACACTTTCTCAGTGTCTAATAATGATCCTCAATCATGACTTTCGCATTCATAGAGGCTTTGTAGTTGTAACTTACTTGTTACACCTTTACTCCCTATGCTTTCCTCAACACTATCAGAGTTCCTTGATTCCTCTCTGTGAAATGAAGATTTAACCCTCCTCTCCATGCTTCAATGTTTCACTTCCTGACTTCCTCCACTGATCTTTCACTTTTCACTGACCTTAAGGGGTATATTTACTTCTAGTATTTCAATGATCTGTTTTGTTCTAAAGTTAAAAATCAATTGATGAGTGGAGAAGGAAGGTAGAGGGACAAATAGGTCTATGAAAATAAAATGTGACAGCCAGGCGTGGTGGCACATGCCTGTCATCCCAGCACTCGGGAGGCTGAGGCAGGAGGATCGCTGTGAGTTCGAGACCAGCCTGGGCTCCATAGTGAGTTCCAGGTCAGTCTCAGCTACACAGTGAGACCCTGTCTCAAAAAACCAAAAACCGAACCAAAACAAAAAAGGTGACAAATATAAATTGTCAAATTTAGAGATAACGTATATGGATGTTTCTGATCAATTCTTCAGATTTTTTTCTGTAGATTTAAATAGTTTCTTACTAAAATATTCATATAAAATTGTGATTTAATAAGTTAAACCTCAACTTGAAAAATGGCAGAATAAAGCCAAGTATGAACTCTGTAATTCTGCTTGTCACTGGATGGTATCTGAGAAGGTCTTCCCTTCTGAGAAGAGATAGAGCCTCCGTTTACCCGACCCCTAAGGCAGGTCTTAGGTTCATTGACTTTGTCACCGCAGAAGAATTTCAGGGAGCCTCAGTGAGAGGCATAACAGATGTGTTCCGAAAGGCGTACACACTCAGAAAGGGGTACAGATCCTCAAGAAAGAGGCACATGAGGGTTTGGGGCTGAGAGTTTTTAATGTGGTTAGGATAGTGGTGTCATCAAGAGAGATGATGGAGATACATACCTAATTTCTGCCAGGTTGCCCATTTAGTGGGCTAAATTAGAGTGCAAATGATTTCCATGTGTTTGAATTCAGATATATGTTACCAATTAAATAGTGCTATTTCCTTGAGGATGGATGTCTGTGGGATTTGTGAATCTGTAGTACTGGAGGAAAAGAGCAGGCTCAGTTTACAAGTGAAAAGCAGGACCAGCTGACAGACTATTATATCTTTGAGATTCTCAGGAATTTTGGAAGTAAGTTTCCTGGAAGGAGAAAAAAAAAAAATCGCAATGTAACCAAGGGTAACTTTGATTATATCCTGAAGTTGCTCGTTTTGTAAAAATACAATTTTTAAATTACGAAAAAAAATAAAGTTAAAAATCAAACAAGAGTATTACATTCTTATGATCATATAAGTATGGTCTACTGGAAAGCTACCTGGTGTGGTGTGAGGTCACATGCTTTGTGGCAAAGCATTAGTTTTCCTTGACTCGCCCACACTCATCCACTCCCCTTGTGCTCCCTCAGGCACTGGTCTCTCTCATCCTTTGCTCTGCTTCTTTTGAAATATCACATGAGGTGCTATATTAAGCCTCTCCCGACTAAACTTTCCCTCGTTCTGCTCTGGAGTGGCCGAGTTCTGGGCTTGGACACGAACACACTGTGATCCATAAATTCTCTTCACTCTAGGTTGATTTTCCTTTTTCCTGGAGAGTCTTTCTCTCTCAGTTATCTACCCACCCTATGGACACACAACACACGCACACAATCATGGGCACACACACACGCACAGACGTGTATATCACACACCCTTTCTCGCTTTTCTTTCTGTGCAGTTTTTTTTCCAATAATGTTTTATGATACTCTTTTGTATGATAAATTCGTGACTCCTCATTCAGCTCCATATTTTTCATTTTTGTACTTTTTTCTAGAAATTTTCCTTGATTTTCTTTTCCTGTCTCTTTCCAGAGTTGTTCACTTTGTCAGTTGCTTTTTCATTCTGAAGACCTTTTTATTCCGTAATGTTTCTATTGTCAATGCATCTTGTACTCATTTTATGAATAAATTTATCTTTAAAACCCTCTAAAGACATGGGTTTGAGTGTTTTAAAAAGATCAGTTTTGGGATTCAAAGTGATTTGCTTCTTGGAATCATGTTGCTATGTATGGCATGTGCTTAGGTGTCCTCTCAAAGCCTCGTGTGGTCATAGGGGGTGCTTTTGGAGGTGGCTGGATCTGGTGTGTGTGATGCTGAGATTAAGGGTGTGTTATTACTAAATTGGTCCACTGATTGGTCTAGCACTGACCTAAATGAAGACAGTGGAAAGTCTCATCCTGGGTGAGGGTAGCACCACCCCAAAGGCAGGCAGCCTGGAAGGGATAAAAGGGAGAGGCAGGCTGCTGCTCTTGGTGCTGCTTGTGGCTTTGCTGTTTCTTGCCTGCTTACTATGGACTGTTTCTCCTCCGTATACCCCTCTGCCTTGCCACCCTGCTTTGCAGGCAGCAGACTATGGGCTGCAACCTCCACAAACCTCTACTAAAATAAACTTTCCTCTTTTAAAGTTGGGCATTGGGTATTTTGTCTCAGCAACGAGGAAAGTCACCAATGCATTGTGTTCTATTTGCTTCTTTTGGCCATTTCTCCAGAATAACATCTTCCTCATTCGTCTGACCCCAGACTGCCCATTCGTTTTCAAGAGGGAACGAGGCTTCCTTGTAGGAGGATGGCATGGCGACCCCCTAAACGTCTGCACACCAACGTGCGTTTCCCTGGAGACTTTCAGCTCAGCCCTGCACTCCGTGACTTTTTTGTCCCGCTGGTGTAGAATGCTGCCATGAACACGGCGTAGGGAAGGGCCTGTTGGTTTCCACTGGCTTCCTCTTCATCTCTTCCTCTCTCTGAATTTGCCTTCCAGACCATTCTTCTTGGCCATGAGCCTGCTCTGTGTTTCTCTGCACAGCAGCTCACTGAACTGTGCTTTGTTCAGTTATCACCTCTTCATCCAGTTCTGTCTCCCAAACATTCACTGAAGCCTTGGATCTCCTGTTGAGCTCCTTCCACGTTTCACAGATAGTAGAGTGAGGAGAAGCGTTGTGCGGACCGACCCAGTCTTTATCACTATTAGATTTCTAATCTGAAACAAGTTGCCTAATGTCTGTCTTTCATTTTACTCACCCGTAAGCAAAGATATGAAGGATATACACTTGCAAGTTTATTGGGAGACTACTGTGTTATAATTTATAAAGACTCTGAGCAATTACTGGTGTGGCATGAAACCCACCACCTCAGTCACTATTATTATTAGCTATGATCACACGTGGAAGGATCTTTAGTAATATTTTTGAGTAGTAGCCAAAGTAATTGATAAATGCCTTTATGTCTTCCTAAAATATGACACCCCCCAAAAATCCACATTAGTTTTTCTACCTCATCTCCAAAGGCAAGAAAATCACAAGAAATTGAATAAATTCCATTTAAATACAGACTTGTTTTTAAAACAAAAGACTCCTGGTAGCTGACAAGACTGAAAGTATCATATAAGGCCCACGTTTAAATTTAATAGCATCTGACCTAGGCACGCTATTTCTACAAATATCTTAAGGAAATAATTTCAAATGTAGTCAGAGTTTTACCCAAGGAGAATGTTCATGCATTATTGTTTATATAGATGAGTGGAAACAACCTTAGGTACAGCAGTTAGGAGGAGAAAGGAGAGCAGGTTCTGACAAGACTCCAGACTCTAACAGAACGAACGATCAGCAGAAACAAAATGGTGCAGGCTCTGGTGATCACAGGAGGGCACATGTGGAAATTTACCAATACAGGGGCTTGGACAGGCATGGTTCTAGAAGGAGAGTTTTGCTGACAAGAAAACATATACACGATTAAGGACTTTTATGTACTTAAAGGAGTAGAGAGCACAGTCTTCAGAAACACGAGATTTGGATGAGAAAGATTTGGGGTCACATCCTGGCCCCAGAACTCCTGTAAAGGATGTGTTACCTGACCTGCAGGGCACTTCCATCTGCTTTAAAATGGGAGCCACAAAGATTCTGGCCCCATGAGTGTGATAGTGGAATGAGTTGTGTAAGGAGGGTGCACAGGACAGACCCTCAAGAAACACTAGCCTTTCTCACTAGTGAACTCAAGTGTTCCCCGCCCCAGTTACTCTCCAGAACATTCCTTCCCCTCTCCTCCTCTGTGTATGAATCCTATCGTTTCTCTATGGTGGTGTCTTCATCCCCACATCTCCTCCCTGTTCCCTCACAGATACAAGGACTCTGCCTTGGTGGAGGTGAGGGAAGAGGCAGCTGGATGATGGCCTTTTCTGAATAACAACCACAGAGGCTGGTAGACACAGAACTTGCTCAGTGAAGTCCACTGGGTCAGTGTGCGTCCCAGAGAGATATATAGAAGGCCTGACCCCTAGCTGCTGATCACTGTTGCCCCAGCTGTCCCTGACCCACTCCATAATTTCTTTCCTTCTCTCCTTCAGCCTGGACTCTCTGGCAAGCTCTAAGGAAAACCTCTCAAAAACAACATCGCCATCACCATGGCCTGTGCGCCATTCACAGGTATCCGCTCTACTTCTCTGGCTGGTTCCTGCTCATGAACTGGCACTGAGGTGGCTCCTCTGAAGCCAAGGTAGCTCGTGAAGGACACCAGGATGGAGAGGGGAGTCCAGAGGGGAACGCATGGATCTCTCTCGGGGTCTGTGGCTCCTCCCTCTGGGCCTTCTCAGGGGCGGAGTCCAGGTGCTCACATCCGCTTTGCACTGCATTCTAGTGAAGACGGCCCTGAGGTGGGGTGGGGGGGACAGCAGGGGTGGAGGGAGAGGGAGAAGAAAAGGGGACAAGAGGCAGAAGGGCAAGGAGAGGATGTGAGGGAAACCCAGAGGCTCCTCTAGCCTGTCATTTGTCCCTTGCTCCTGACTGACCCTGGTGCACTTCCCGTGAAGAGTCCCCTCCAGCTCCTGCCCCATGAGGATCCAACTTCTCTGAGTGACTCAGCAGGAAAAGTGACCCAGAGTCCCATTGCACTGGAACCC